CACTGAAAGTAAGGGCTGGATGGACATTGTTGCAGACCAGTGAGGCACAGCTCTAGGTACCTGAGTGTGTGGGGCCTCTGCAACCAGCTGCAAGTGGTCATCCTTGTGTCCGGAAGGCCCATTCCTGGCCAGTGACCTCGCCTTTGGACCCGAGTGTCCAGGTCTCCCTAGGATGCTGGCAGTGAGGGCACAAGGCAGGCTTGTCTTGCTTTTCTAGGTCATTTTCCTGTGTGCCTCCTGTCAAATCTTTTCCTTTTAAAGCCAGTCCTTCATCCTTAAAGTCATTCCTTGCCTCTCCACCCAGAGAGGTTTTTCTTCTGAGAAATCTCCCAAAGACTACACCTAAATAATATTTATTTATTTATTTACTTATTTATTTATGGTAGGGCCTCCCAAGCCATGCTCAGGGGACAAGAGGTCAGTGTTCAATGCTAAGGGCCCAAGGATACAGTGTTGCTTGGGGCCTAAAGTTTGGGGACCACCAGATCACACGATTGGTGCTTAGGGGCCATCAGGGCCATACCTGGCAATGCTCAGGAGGTCAAATAGTGTCAGGGATTGAACTGGAGATGGGCTCATGCTATGCAGAGACCACCTAACCTTGGTGATGTCTGTCTTCCCAGCCCTGAATGCAATATTTATTCAACCAAGAAAAGTAACCATAGTAAAAATTCTCTGAAAAAACAATAAACAAAATATAATCTGTTCTTCTGACACCTGATTTTTGTGGCAAAGAGAACTCTTTTTGGTTGATTGTTTTAGTTTTGGTTTTGGGGCCAAAAACCTCAGTAATGCTCTGAGGCTATTTGGGCTCGATGCTCAAAGGGCACTCCTTCTAAGGGAAACATATGCTACCACTATCAAAATGGGTTCCTGCATTCAAAGTATGTGCTCAAGACCATTGTGCTATCTCTCTGGATCCCCTTCTTTTTGGGGGATGGATGCATATCCAACAGCGCTTGGAGGACCATGTGGTGCCAGGAGTTGAACCTGGGTCAGATGCTTGCAAGGCAAAAGCATAAGCTATATTATTGCTCTGACTTGCTCCTTCCTTCCTTCCTTCCTTCCTTCCTTCCTTCCTTCCTTCCTTCCTTCTTTCCTACCTCCTTTCCTTTCTTTCTTTCCTCCCTAAACTGACCTAAATACCAGTACCATTTTTCTTTTCATTGTATTTATAATTTTTTGATATTCGGCCACACCTAGCAATTCTTTGGTGTTACCACTGGCTCTGCACACAGGGATCACTCTTGGCACAGCTTGGGGTATCATACAGGATACCAGAGATCAAACCTGGGTTGGCTGTGTGCAAGGCAAGTGCCTTACCTTCTGGACTATCACTCTGGCCCCAAGTAGCACTCTTTACCCACCACTCTGTCCCTGGCTTTTCCCCTAGCAGCGCATCTCAGAGACAGGTTGACAACAGTATTTTTCTATCTTCTCTTTTATCTTAAGAATGACCAATTAGCGGGCTGGAGTGATAGCACAGCAGGTAGGGCGTTTGCCTTGCACACGGCCGACCCGGGTTCAATTCCCAACATCCCATATGGTCCCCTGAGCTGCTGCCAGGAGTAATTCCTGAGTGCAGAGCCAAGAGTAACCCCTGTGCATCTCCAGATGTGACCAAAAAAGCCAAAAAAAATGACCAATTGTTATTTAGTGTGATGGTAATTTATTTGCTGGTGGTACTTGGGGGACCAGGACCATTCCAGATAGTTCTCAGAGTGCCAATAGAATCACAGCTGACAGTGCAGGGGACCAGTAGACCAGTCATTCTCTGAAGTACTGGGATATGCTGGGGATTTATCACACATGCAAAGACATCATCACTGCCATTCAAGTCACATCTCTGCCTTCCATCATTTTAATATTAATATTGTTATTGTAAAGAATAGCAAAAATATTGCTAAAAGTAGGTTCTTTATTTATTTATTTATTTTTTTGCTTTTTGGGTCACACCCGGCAATGCACAGGAGTTACACCTGGCTCTGCACTCAGGAGTTAACTCCTGGCGGTGCTCATGGGACCATCTGGGATGCTGGGAATCGAACCCGGGTCAGCCGCGTGCAAGGCAAACGCCCTACCCGCTGTGCTATCGCTCCAGCCCAAAGTAGGCTCATTTTAAACAAATTATAAAGCATGGGGGCTGGAGCGATAGCACAGCGGGCAGGGCGTTTGCCTTGCACGCGGCCTACCCGAGTTCGATTCCTCTGCCTTCAATTCCTTCGCTCCTCTCGGAGAGCCTGGCAAGCTACTGAGAGTATCTCACCCGCTTGGCAAAGCCTGGCAAGCTACCCGTGACATATTCAATATGCCAAACACAGTAGCAACAAGTCTCACAATGTTACTGGGCCCGCTCAAGCAAATCAATGAACAACGGGAGGACAGTGATAGTGACAGTGATAAAGCATGGGGCTTGGAGTACTGAGATTAAGGAACTTGCTTTGCATGGGGGCTGACTCAGATTTAATACCTGGTACTTAGGATGGTCCTCCAAGCACCACAAAGAGCGACCCCTGAGCACAGCCAGCAGAAGCCTGCTGAATGTAGACCAAACTCCATCAAAAAGAAAAGAGCAACCCCCTGTAAAGGTATCCTCAGATTGAGAATTGGGCTCTCAGACTGACTCTATCACAGTCTCTCTCTCTTAGGACTCATGATGCTTACTTCCTAGATTTTCTCCATAGTTTCACTTGCACATTTGTGTTCTCAAGCAAGTTAGTTCAGCCTGCTTTGGTTTGGTTTGGGGCCCACACCTGCTGGTGTTTAGGGTTTACTCCTGCCTCTGTGCTCAGGACTCACTCCTGGCATTGCTTGGGGGACCATTATGGTACTGGGGATTGAATCAGTGTAGGTTGCTTGCAGGATGCCTAACCGCCGACTATCTCTAACCCCAGTTCTGCCTGTTTTGAACTTGAAATTAAAAAAATCCATTACATGTGTTCTATTTTGGGGGGTTGCCCCAGGCTACTGCCTGACTCCACAGTCCTGCTTGTTCTGTGCTTGGGCCCAGAGGTACTAGGGACCATCAGACCACATTCATCAATATTGCACAAACTCAAATGCCAAGTGGACACAAGATAGCTTTGTGCCATGGTCCTGGCCTATTCTATGTGTGTTCTATTGTCTCTTTTGTACTCAGCACCGTGTTTGTGAGAGTCACCAGGTAACTGGGTAAAACTACAGTTTCTTCATTTCTATTGCTATGTCACATTCTATTGTTATGTTCCATACCACAATCTAGTCTACTGTGTGTGTTGGGTCGTGTGTGTGTACGTGTGTGTGTGTGTGTGGTCCCAGCCAGGAGTCCTGACATATGTGAGGCATCCCCTCTACCATTGACTCATATCCCCAGAGTCCCCTAACCCACTATTGATATTAAGACTATTTATAGTTTATCTTTTTTTGGGGGGGGGGATGGAGGTGTTTGGGCCACCCCCAGTGATACTCAGGGATCACTCCTGGCAGTGTTCAGGGCATCATATGTGGTGCCAGGATTCATACTGCAGTCAGCCACATAAAAGGCAAGAGCCTTAACCTTTGTACTATACCTTGGGTCCCTGTTTCTGATTATTGACAATTATGAACATTGTCACTGCAAGCATTCTTGTGTGAGTGTCCTGTGGAACATATGTTTAGCAGTGCCATTATTGGTTCAAGGGGTATTTTTGACATTAGTAGTTTTACCACATTGTTTTGTAAACAGGAGAGCTTCCCTCCCCTGGCAATACTCATGTTCTCTACATCTCTGACTTCGAGAGATGCCTATCTTGGTGGTTGGGTGGATATAGCTCCTTTCATCTTTGAAATAGTGGAAATATTTAGGTAGGTATGTAGCTCAGCTACCAAAAACAATAATTTATTTCTTAATGTAATTAAAATTATTTTGTCAGTGCCAGGAATTGAACCTAGGACCTCACACATATAAGTCAACTGTTCTACCACTAAGTCTCATGCCTGGCCCAATTAAAACAAATATTTTTGGCTTTGTTTTGGGGCCACACCTGATGGTGCTTAGGACTTACTCCTGCTCTGTGCTCAGGGATCACTTCTTTTTTTTTGTTTTGTTTTGTTTTGTTTTTGGATCACACCGGGTGATGCACAGGGGTTACTCCTGGCTCTTGCACTCAGGAATCACTCCTGGCAGTGCTCGGGGGGACCATATGGGATGCTGGGAATCAAATCCTGGTCTGCTGTGTGCAAGGCAAATGCCCTACCCCCTGTGCTATCGCTCCAGCCCCCAGGGATCACTTCTTGAAGTGCTCAGGGTACCATATGTGGTGCTGTGAATCAAACCTGGGTTGGCCATATGCAAAGTAAGCACCCTAATTGCTGTACTCTCTCTTGCACCAATAGAAAAATATTTTTGAGTGACAGGAGTAGAAGAACAGTGGGTAGGGCATTTGCCTTGCATGCGACCAACCCAGGTTCAATCCCCAGCATCCCATAAATTCCTCTAAGCCCTACCAAGAATTATTCCTGAGTATAGAGCCAGAAGTAAGTCCTGAGCACCACTAGGTATGACACAAAAACAAAAAAAATTTTTTTTGAATGCATAAAATGCAAAACAGCTACTCAATATTTTGATTTAATATACTTTAGGGGTTTCTTTTTGTTTGTTTTGGGGCAATACCTGGGGTGCCCAGGGACTATACCCAGCTCAGTGCTTGGGGGTTGCTCATGGCAGTGCTTAGGGGACCATGTCGTGCCAGGGATTAAATCTGGTGCTCCTCCTTGCAGGGCATGTGCTCCAGCCCACTGAGCACCCCCATCTCCTCACACTTTTTTTTTTTCATAAGCAGGAGCCGTTCTAGTTCAGGTCATTAAGCTGAGTGGCTAGAGGTATGGCCAGCAAAGTAGGGGTAGAATTCTGATCCTCCTCAAGCCTTTCTGGGGCTGTTGTTGAGCCAGGTTGGGGTCTCTCAGAGGCCTCCTCTCAGATGCTAGGGAGAAGTGGAGAGCATTTTAGTTGAGCCAGATCCTGTTCTGCCTTCTGCCTGCAGCTCAGAGTCCGGCAATGCCGTTTGGGTGTGTGACTCTGGGCGACAAGAAGAACTATAACCAGCCATCGGAGGTGACAGACAGATATGATTTGGGCCAGGTCATCAAGACGTGAGTACTGGGGTTTGGGATGCCAGGGTGTGGGTGAGCAAGTGCTGGGGAAAGGCGAGTGGGAGGCTGGGGGTGCGGGGGTCACTCACTCTGGGGCCAGAGCTGAGTGCATGCCCCACCTACCACAGTGAGGAGTTCTGCGAGATCTTTCGGGCCAAGGACAAGACAACGGGCAAGTTACACACCTGCAAGAAGTTCCAGAAGCGAGATGGCCGCAAAGTGCGGAAGGCAGCCAAGAATGAGATAGGCATCCTAAAGATGTGAGTGTGAGACTTGGGGGTGCAGGGGCCAGCCATCAGGGAGCAGTGAAAGAATGAACAGGCTTGGGGGCAGGAGATCTCAAGCAGTATAGGCCTCTGACCTAATTAGTCTGCTGTGGCCCGCAGTGGCAACCAGAGCCTCTCTTAGGAAGTCACATAATTAAGAGGTCTTAATTAAGGCCCTTTCTCTGCTGCCAGGGTGAAGCACCCTAATATCCTGCAACTGGTGGATGTGTTTGTGACCCGCAAGGAGTACTTCATCTTCCTGGAGCTGTGAGTGTGGGTCTGGGGTCCTAGGATTCCTCGGTCCCTAGGGCCTTTACCCCTTGCAGCCAGGGAAAGACCCCTTTCTGGACCTTTGGGGTCCTGTGTCCCTGTGCCTTACCCAGCCAGCAGCCTGGTGTCAGCAGCCTGCCCAAGTATTCCTGCCCTACCCCCAATCCTGCCACGCCGGGCTCAGGGGCTGGTGTCTCTCAGGGCCACGGGGAGGGAGGTGTTTGACTGGATCCTGGACCAGGGCTACTACTCGGAGCGAGACACGAGCAACGTGGTGCGGCAGGTCCTGGAGGCCGTGGCCTACCTGCACTCACTCAAGATTGTGCATAGAAACCTCAAGGTAAGCTCAGGAGTGGGGCTGAAGGCAGCAGCTGGGCCACTCGGGGTGCAGTCAGGGAGATTCTCACGGAGTCTTTCTCTGCCCATTTACATGCCCTTCCTGGCCGGAGCAGCTGGAGAACTTGGTTTACTACAACCGGCTGAAGAACTCCAAGATCGTTATCAGTGACTTTCACTTGGCTAAGCTAGAGAATGGCCTCATCAAGGAACCCTGTGGAACCCCTGAGTACCTGGGCAAGCATGGGGTGGGCAGGGACTGGGTGGGGTCTGCCTTCCAGGAGTGGCTCTAGGGAATGAAAAAGGGATTTCCCATTCCCAGAAGTGGGTGTCGGGGATAGCCGGTAGTCAGGTTTGGCACTGACCGGCAGATGGACATTTTGTTTGCAGCCCCGGAGGTGGTAGGCCGGCAGCGGTATGGACGCCCTGTGGACTGCTGGGCCATTGGTGTCATCATGTACATCCTGTGAGTGGATGGGCAGACAAACAAGTTGACAACCAGGAGGGGTGGGGGCTTGTGTCTGTGGCCTTCCAGGGTGATCCTGTCTTTTGGTCCCTCTACAGACTTTCAGGAAACCCTCCTTTCTATGAGGAGGTGGAGGAAGATGACTATGAGGACCATGACAAGAATCTCTTCCGCAAGATCCTAGCTGGCGACTATGAGTTCGATTCTCCATATTGGGATGATATTTCACAAGCAGGTGTGGTGGTGCCCAGCATGCTATTGCTCTCAGCTGCCTATTCCCCAGCCCATTCATCACTGCAAGGTGGTGAGAGGGCATCTATGCCTAGCCTCTCCTTGACTTTGTCTCCAGCCAAAGACCTGGTCACAAGGCTGATGGAGGTGGAGCAAGACCAGAGGATAACTGCAGAAGAGGCAATCTCTCATGAATGGTGAGTGGAACATGGGAGAAGAGACCAGTTTCTCTGAGTCTTCATCTTCCTCTTACCCAGGAGCCGCCACTCGTTGAGGCCGAGTGGGGCTTGGGGACACCCAGAACATCTGCCCTGGTGCTTACAAAGAAAGGCTGGGTACAGCCTCCAGGAAGTCTCTTATCCGCTGAGATCCAGATGCATTTGCATCCTTTCCAGGATTTCTGGCAATGCTGCTTCTGATAAGAACATTAAGGATGGTGTCTGTGCCCAGATTGAAAAGAACTTTGCCAGGGCTAAATGGAAGGTAAGGATCCAACTGGCTCCCTTCCCTGAACTGATTCCAAGTGCTCCTTGTGGCATTATTGTTTTGCCTGCAGTCACATACCCCTGCAGTCACACACAGCTCTGCCTGGCCCTCGGGCATAGCCAGAACCCCTGTCACTCCCTTGAGCAGGTGTGTTGCGCAGTTGATGCTCAGATCGGGGTGGGAGGAAGCGCGGGGGGAGTCTGGGCCAGCCAGGGGCATAGCAGAATGGTTTGAGTGTGGACTTTGCCAAAGAGCAGATCCAGCATCTGTGCCTCTTACGCTGAGCCTCTCTAATTGCCCTCTTCCAGAAGGCCGTCCGAGTGACCACCCTCATGAAACGACTGCGGGCGCCAGAGCAGGCCAGCACGGCTGCAGCCACAGACACTGCCGCCGCCGCTGGGGCTACAGGCGGGGCGACAGCCACAAGTGGAGCTGCCCCGGCCCCTGGGAGCAGTGCCACCCCAGCCACGACGGGTGATGGAAAGAGCGATAGTGCAGCCCCCGCAGACCGCAGTGTCACCCCAGCCACAGATGGCAGTACCACCCCAGCTACTGATGGAAGTGTCACCCCAGCCACAGATGGCAGCATCACCCCAGCCACAGATGGGAGCGTCACTCCAGCCACTGACAGGAGTGCCACTCCAGCCACGGATGGGAGAGCCACACCAGCCACAGAAGAGAGCACCATGCCCACCACCCAAAGCAGTGCCACACCGGCCACCACCAAGGCAGCTGCCACCCCTGAGCCGGCTTTGGCCCAGCCGGACAGCACAGCCCCAGGGGGCACAACAGGCCAGGCTCCACCCTCTAGTAAAGGGGATGAGGCTGCTGGCCAGGCCCAGGAGTCTCGGAGGGAGGAGAGCAGCTGAGAGGGCAGGCTGGTGTGGGGGGGGGGGGGGTGGGAGATGGGGCAGGAGGGTGGGAGAGTGGATGAGGGGCTTCTCACTGTACATAGAGTCATTGGCATGATGCCCTCACTCCCCCACCTCTGCCTCCCAATGTGGGGCATGCCTGGGGGCTGCAGGAGAGCTGTGGCTTCTCCTGTGTGTATGTGCGTGCGTGGTGGGCAGGCCAGAGGCAGGGCCAGCCCCAGCCCCTGCATGGATTCCTTGTGGCTTTTCTGTCTTTTGCTAGCTTTACCAGTTACTGTTCCTTGTGGGATGCTGCTCTAGGGATACTCAGGAGGTCCCTACTCCCCTTTCCCTCCCCTTTTTGCCTCATAATTTCCCCAGGCAGGCCCTGCAGGTCCCATCCTCCCCCAGGTCCTAAACTTGGGTGGCCTTGCCCTGAGAGCTGGTCCTCCAGCGAGGCCCTGTCAGTGGTCTTAGGCTCCTGCATTGAAGGTATGTGCCTGGGATGTGTCAGCTCCTCTAGTAGACACTGGCAGGTACAGAGAATGCAAACTAGGACACTGTGCTTCAAGATAAGACTGATTGCATGGCCCTGCTTGGTAGTTCTGGGAGTCCTCAGAAGTATAGGAGAATGGGAAGGGGGTAGAAGCTTTCATCTTGTCCCTGAAAAGTCCTTCCCAAGGATTTAGAGAGAGGTCCTAGAGCTATTTCTCACCCTCCTAGGGCTCCTGCAGTAGGTTGCTCTGTGCCTGGAGCTTGTAATAGGAGGGAAGGAGGAGCAATTAGCATCTGGCAGTGTGAACTGGAAAGGCAGAGAGTAGCCCAATACTTAATGTCCCAGCTTGGCCAACTTCTCGCATGGAAGACAGGGAAAGGCTGACATCCCTTGGTCTTCCCAGCTGGCCCTCCTTAGTCTCAGCCTACAGTTCTCTCGATCCCAGGGCGCCTGCCACATAGCAGTGTTCCATAGTCTAGTTTGGGGGTTTGCCCTACAAAGGGGCAGATCTTCTCTTCTAGTTCAACAAAACGAAGGAAAACTTCTCGTTATTTATGGCCCACTTCCCTTTTCGTCAGGGCATAGAGAGAGGCCCAGGTGCTTCAAAGCCATGCTGAGTTGCTTTTGGTGAGGGAGTAGAATAAGGCTCCTGGTTGCTGATGGAGGCTCCTGGCAGGTGCCCCTTGTCAGACCCCATTACAGCTGGGCAGGCAGCCACGCTGGTCCCAGCCCTTGCTTGGCACTCTGGGCAGTCTTGCCCTTCTTCCTGCATGCCTGTGGGTCTGCTCTGGTGTATGAAGGTCAGTGGGCTGTGTGCCTGCTGAACCTGGCAAATAAATGTCACCCTGCCAAAGCCTCTGACCACCCTCTTGCTGTTGCTTCCTCTGTCTTACTGGGGAGGGGCCCCTGGAAAGTGATGGGGAGGGGAGCCTAGTGAGTTGTTCCAGCTGGGAGTGCAGATCACCTGACTTTAGCGTACACCTTGAAGGTGGTGGGGTTCTCTGGACTCTAGAAACCCAAGTATGTGACAGGTCCTATTCTGGGCTCGCATCAAGAATTAAGCTCTGGGCTACTTTTCTGACAAGACCAAAGGCATTGAGCCCTTGACTTAGAAATGGAAGCCGCTAACACCAGCCACCATAGAAATCCTGCCTGTGGCCAGAGCAGCCTTCCCTGAACTGGGGAGAGGGTGCATGGTGGGCAGTGCCACAAGTTCTCTACTACTGTATTGATTCTTCCTTCCTGTGGTCCATGCCTGTATTTTCTACAACTGGTCCAAAGGATTTTGCCCTGGTTCTACTTCATACTAACTTATATTTGGGGGCTATGAGTAAGGTTTCTTCTGGAGAAAGGTCGAGGGGAGGTAATGCTGCTAAAAATAGTATAAGTGAAAACTCCTAGAAAGACTTTCAGCTCTATCTGCTCAGGTGAGTTCCCTCTTCCTTGGGGAGGATCCCAAAGGTAACTTAGCTGATGTGTGTTTTCTTTATATTTTTTAAAACAAACTTTTCAGGGCAGAGAAAATTTTCTTGATAATGTCTTGTATCTGCTTAATTTATGCTCACTGTTGGTGGACATCTTTTTTCAATGGAATAAATCTAGATATCCATGGGAAAATATTTTTTAATTGTGCAGAAAGGGATTTGGTTACAATAGCAATCGTGTGTGTGTGCATATATATGCACATATATATGCATATATATATATATATATATATATATATATATACATTTTAGCTTGTTTTGGGGCCACTCAGTGGTGTGGTGCTGAGGATGGCTCTCTGCAGTGCTGGGACCATGCAATACGGGGCCTCAAGCCCAGTTATCCTGTATCAAAGTATGCACTCAGTCCCTTGGGCTATTTTTCTCCTCCCCAAGCATTTATCTTTGGGGGGGTTACTGGGCTTTTTTTCCCCCTCCAGGGGTCCACACTGCAGTGGTGTTAAGAGTGACTTTGATTCCCCCACTGGTGTTTGGGGGAGGGGGAAACCATGTGGTGCTGGTGATCAAACTCGGCAAGCATCTAGACCCCATACTCTCTGGCCCCCCCATGTGTATATATTGAAAAAGAAAGAGGAAGAGAAAGGGCTTGTTAGTCACTTTCCTTTGAAGCATGTAGCGCTCACAGATGCCAACCCTACTTCAATCCGGAGGCACAACTGATCTTCCCGGGAACTGAGAAAGTCAGGGCACTGGCCCCGCTGCCTCCAAACTTGGGGAACGACATGCTATAAAGCCAGGGTGAGCTTGGGATGCCCTGAGGGGCTAGGCCCTGAGTCCACCTTTCTAAGACCACTCAGCCATGGTATGAAAGGGTGGAATATCTTCTTGGTCTGTGGGAACCACGGCTGCCAGAACGCAAGCGACCCACTCTCTACTGGGTCACAGTCCCATTGCCCCACTTCCACGGCCTTCTCGCCTCTCCCTGAATTCAGAGAAGGCTGCCCTGAGAGCACGGGGTTAAGGAACCTGGGAACCTCTCAGCAGGGCCGGGACAGCGCAGCTGAAGCTCCAACCCAAAGATACGCGTTGGCGGTACCCGCTGCTGGGGGGGATGGCTACAAGCTCTGATGCGCACTCCGCCCCGGATTCTCCACGGCCCCCGCGGACGTTAGTCCCGCCTGAGATGGTTGTCCAATCCGGAGTCAGCATGCAGGCCCCGCCTCCGTGCTAGTGACGCCACATCCGGTCCGCCGCCGGAAGTCGCGCTTTGTAACCGAATTTGAAGTGAGCCGAGCGGCGAGAGCCGGGTTTCTGGGGCTCTTAGAGCCACAGTCACGATGCCTATCCGTGCGCTCTGCACCATTTGCTCCGATTTCTTCGACCATTCCCGCGATGTGGCCGCCATCCACTGCGGCCACACCTTCCACCTGCAGTGGTGAGTGAAGTGACCGCGCTCCCGGGGCGAGGCGGGACGGCTAAACGACCGCAGGGTGTCGGAGTCTCCAGGAGGCCGGCCCTAGTCCGAGCCCCCTACGGGAAGTTCCAGGCTGGGCAGCGGCGGGTCAGGGCAGGCTTCGCCCAGGGACCTGGACAGCTGAGTTGAATTCAGGGTAAATAAATTCCGCCATTGGCGGCGGCGCAAAGGATGGATTTTCAACTATTAGCCCGGGCGGAAGGTGCTTTTCCCGAGTTCGTGAGCCTTCTCATGGCCTCTGACTGCCAGAGGATCCGTTGTGGTTTGCCGGATGGTTCGGGTGAGTTCTGGATAGACGCTCCGACTCCGCCAAACCCAAGCTGAAAACCTGAAGGGCGAGGAAATACTCCCCGATCAAGCCCTGCTGACCCAGTAAGGTCGTTCGGTTGAGTATTCAGCTGGTGGAGAAAGGAACCAGGTCGCCTGATTAGGTTAATCCTCGCAGGGCTGGCGCGGTTGCCAGGAATCAGGCCCCTAAGTAGGATTCCCCACCCCCATCCCAACACCTGCGGTGTAACGGTCCCCACTCCTCTTCGCCAGAGCTGTCCAGCATCGCGCGCAGACCTATCGTTCACCCGCCTGACGGGCCAGGCCAGTTGAGCCTCGCCGACACCCTAGTGCGGTGCTTGGGAGGCACACAATAGGTGAACACAACATATAAATTTTACCGTTTTAACCAATTTTAAGTATAAAAATAAGCGGAATTATGTATGTTCATAATGTGCAGTCATCCCCTTAATCTGCTTACAGAATTTTTCTAACATTCCAGACATAAACACTGCCCTCGGAATTACCTACCTCCGGTGCTATTGCTCCAGCCCGCTATGTTAACATAGAAAAAAAAATTTAAGTTTTTTGAGAAACCACTTACTGTTTCCCACAGTGTACCCATAATTTTGCATTCCTACCAGCTATGCACAATCCTGCCAACATTTGCTGTGTCATTGTCACTGTATCACTGTCATCCCATTGTTCATCGATTTATTCGAGCAGGCGCCAGCAACGTCTCTATTCGTCCCAGCCCTGAGATTTTAGCAGCCTCTCCTTACTCGTATTTCCCAACGCTGCCAAATTGGAGGCTCTTTCAGGGTCAGGGGAATGAGACCCGCTCATGGGGAACCCAAGTCCTTCTGATCAAGGCCCAGCCCAACATTTGCTATCTTGTATTATTATTTTTCTAATAATAGACATTCCCTAAGTGGTAATTTTTGCTTGCTTTTATTTTGGGGCCACACTCAGCTGTGCTCAGGGCTTACTCCTGGCTCTGCACTCAGGGATCACTCCTGGTGGGGCGACTTGGACTCTATGGGGTGCTGAGGATTAAACCCCTTTGGCTGAGTGCAGGACAAGAGCCCTGTGCTTTGTACTATCCCTGCGGCACTACTGTTTTTCCTTTTGTGTCACAGTGCTTGGAAGCCCTAGGGTGTGAGGGATGACCTCAGCCTCACTCATGAAAGGCCTGTGCTCTACCACTTGAGCCATCGCCCCAAATCTTGTATTTTAACTTTGTTGTAACTAATGTATTTGTATATAAATTTATTTTAAATATTTGAATACTAATGTTTAACTATTGTTTATTTTGGGGTTGGGGGGATCACACACAACATAGCTCAGGAGTTACTCCCAGCTCACTGCTCTGAACAGAACTCAGAGGGTTGTGCAGTGCTTCTATAAGCAAAGCATGTACTCCAGCCCTCTGAGTCATCTCCCAGCCCCTGTGTTTCTTAGTTTAGTTCATCTCAGGGTATTTTCTCATTTTCCTTGGGATTTCTTCTTTGAGTGCTTGGTTAAGAATCAGTTGTTTAATTTCCATGTTTGTCAATTTTCTGCTTTTGTGTGTGCGTGATTAACCTTTAGTTTCACTTATGATTAGATACTTTGCTGATTTTAGTCTTTTACAACTTCTTAAAACTTGCTATGACCAAACTTAGTTGTCTGACTTGGAGAATATCTGAGTACCCTTGAGAAAAATATTTATTCTGCCTTTTGGGGTATAGTAATTGTTAAGTCTGTTAGGATTTTAGTGTTGAGTCATCTGTCTTCTCATCTGACACGTGTCTAGTTGTTGTATTCTTCACTGAAGCTGTGAGGCAGTGATGTCTCCAATTTTTATTGTGGAATGATTTATTTCTCTCTCTCTCTTTTTTTTTTTGGTTTGTTTATAGGCCATACCTTGCTATGCTCCGGGCTTATTCTTGGCTTTGCACTCAGGGACCACTCCTGGTAGGCTTAGGTGCCAGAGATTGAACCTAGGTCTGTGCGTGCAAGGAAAGCACTTTATCTGCTATGCTATTGCTCTGGCCTGTAGAATGATTTCTTCCCTTTAATTCTGACCAGCTTTCTTTTATATATTTTTTGGCTCTTTTGTTGGGTGCATATATTTTTATAATTGTTGTTTCTTGTTGTTTTTGTTTTGTTTTTGTTTTTTGGCCACACCCAGCTATGTTCAGGGCTGACTCCTGACTCTGTGCTCAGGGATCATTCCTGGCAGATTTGGGGAACTATATAAGGTAGCAAGGATTGAACCCAGGTCTGCCTTATGCAAGACAAGCACCCTAACCACATTACTATCTCTCTGCCCCTGTTCTTTCTTTTTGTTTTGTTTTATTTTGAGGGGGGTGGTTCTTACTTGTGGAGGAGCCACACCCAACAATGTTAAGGGTTTTCTTCTGGCTCTGCACTCAGAAATTACTTCTGGCATTTCTTGGGGCACTATGGGATGTCAGGGATTGAATTGACTGCATGCAAAGCAAGTGCCTTATCTGCTGTACTATCTCTCCAGCCCCTGTCCCTGCCCCTGTTATTTTTTTGTTGGTGTGAAGCTTTATAATCAATATATAAAATCCTTTGTGTCTTGTAATCTTTTTACTTAATTTTTTTTTTCCTTTTTGGGTAATACCCAGCAATGCTCAAGGTTGCTCCTGGCTCTGCATTCAGTAATAACTCCTGGTAGTGCTCAGGGGATCATATAGGATGCTGGGGATTGAACCCAGGTTGGCCGTGTGCAAGACAAATGCCCTACCTGCTGTACTGTCGCTCCAGTCCCTACTTAACTGTCACTGTCCTTTTGTTGTTCATCGATTTGCTCGAGCGGGCACCAGTAACATCTCCATTGTGAGACTTATTGTTACTGTTTTTAGCATATTGAATACGTCATGGGTAGCTTGCCAGGCTTTGCAGTGCAGGCGAGATACTCTCGGTAGCTTGCCGGGCTCTTTGAGAGAGGTGAAGGAATCCAACCTGGGTCGGCTGCATGCAAGGCAAACGCCCTATCAGCTGTGCTATCTCTCCAGCCCCCTACTTAACTACTTTTTTTTTTTTTTTTGCTTTTTGGGTCACACCCAGCAATGCACAGGGGTTATTCCTGGCTCTGCACTCAGGAGTTACTCCTGGCGGTGCTCAGGGGACCATATGGGATGCTGGGAATCGAACCTGGGTCAGCCACATGCAAGGCAAATGCCCTACCCGCTGTGCTATTGCTCCAGCCCACTACTTAACTACTTTTATAACAATAATATAGCTACCTCAACTCTTGTTTTGATTTTATTTTTCTTTTTGGTGTTTGGGTCATACTCAACTGTGCTCAGGACTTACTCTTGACTTTTTATTCAGGGATCACTCCTGGCAATGCTTGGGCTACTAGGGATGTACCAGGGTTGACCTCATGCAAGACAAGTGCTTTATCCCCTGTTATTACATCTCTGGCCCTTGACTAACTTTTTTTTTTTTTTAATGTAGGAGTACTGCTATTTGTTCAGCCACTGATTAGCTGATTGAATTGGGCATGAACTTCACTTGACTAACTTCTTGTATTGTTCCTCATTTTACTTTTCCTATGTGGAATTTGCTGGCTTTCTTTAACTTGTAGATTAGTTTTCAGTTCTGGGAAATTGTTCAACCATAATATCTGTAATTACTATTATGGGGGAAGAATTTAGGCCATATCTAGCATATCTAGTAGTGTACAGAACTAATCTGGTTTTGTCCTCAGGAATCACTCCTGGGAGTGTTCAGGGTTGCATATGCACTGCTGAGCATCCAACTCGGGTCAGCCACATGCAAAACAGCACTTTAACCCCCTCAACGACTCTCTGGAGTCATTCACCTATCTCTGTAATTGTCACCTCCAATCCCATTACTTCTTTTTTTTTTCTATATTGATTTCTCTTTTTTGTTACAGCAAATTAACACTAATTTTGGATATTTTGTTTTGTTTTGTTTTGTGTTTTTTGGCTGTTTGGGTCACACCCAGCAATGCTCAGGTGTTATTCCTGGCTCTGCACTCAGGAATTACCCCTGTGGTGCTCAGAGGACCATATGGAATGCCAGGGATCAAATCCGGTCCACTGCATGCAAGGCAAATGCCCTACCCACTGTACTACAGCTTTGGCCCCTATTTTAGATTTAAAACAACACAAATTTACTCTTGTAATTTCAGAGATCCAGAAGTTCAAAATGAGTTAAAATCAAAGGGTGAGTAGTGCTGTACTTTGGTTCCTGGCATCTTTTCCAATCTTGAAAGCCAATTGTTAATTTTCCTTCATGACAGACACCAGGTTCACATACCTTGGGATTATAAGGGACAGCTGAAAAATCTCTCTCTCTCTCTCTCAAGATCCATAGTTTACATCTGCGGAATTATTCTTTTGATATGAGATCATATATTCTCGGGTTTCAGAAAGTAGAGTGTGAATTTTTGTTTGTTTATTTTTGGGCCATACCCAGCAGTGCTCGGCTTACTTCTGATGTTCTCAGGGATAACTCCTTGTGGAGTTTGGGGACCATATGGTGTTACCAGGAACTGAAACCTAGGTGTGCAAAGCAAGTGGCTTACCTGTTATACAATCTCTGAGGCCCAGCTGTGAATTTTTTTTTAGAGGAGGGCATTCTACCTAATTCTTTCCAAAACTCCTAATACAATAATACAGATGTTGGACCTTTCATAAGATCTGTGTCCCTTATTTATGTTTTTGTTTTGGGGCCACACCTTGTGATGCTCAGGGGTTACTCCTGGCTCTGTACTCGGGAATTACTCCCGCCAGTGACCAGGGTACCATAAGAGATACTGGTGATTGAACCTGGGTTAGCCTCATGCAAAGCAAGGGCCCTATCTGCTATCTATCTCTTTGGCCTCATCATTTCATTTATATATATTTGGGGAGAGGCTACACGTTGTGCTCAGAAATTAGCCTTGGCTAAGTGGTCACTCCTGGTGGTTCTTGAGGGGACCAAATGCAGTGCTGGGTTTAGAGAAGGGAACCAGGGTCTTTTGCACGCTAGGCAAATGCCTTACTCCCTGTACTCTCTGACCTCTATATAATTTTCAGTTTCTCTTCTGACTGATATTTCACTTTAGTAATTCTTCAACTATGTCTGAACTGCTATTAAATTCACCAATAAAGGGGCCTGAAAAGATAGTATGCACTCGTCTTGCATGTGGCCAACCCTGGCACCAGGACCAGGTATGGTCCCCTGGATACTGCCAGGACTCCTGAGCATTGCTTGAACCCAAATTCCCTCCACACCCTCCCCCCCCCAAAAAAAAAAACCTCACCCATAGAATTCCTAATTGGACCATCTTTTGTGATTCCCTTTTTTTTTTAAATGCTTTTTGGGTCACACCTGGCGATGCACAGAGGTTACTCCTGGCTCTGCACTCAGGAATTACTCTTGGCAGTGCTCAGGGGACCATATGGGATGCTGGGAATGGAACCCAGTCGGCCGTGTGCAAGGCAAATGCCCTACCCACTATATTATTGCTCCAGCCCCATAGGGCTATGATTCTTTTTGTGATTTTGTTATGTAACCTTTAATTTTCTTATTCTCAACTCATTTTCTCCATTTTGATTTATATTACTTCAGCATAACGTGTTATGAATCTAGATCTGACAGTTCCAGTATCTGCACTGGATATGTCCTTGATTTCATTTTTGCTTTTTTTCCTTGCACAGCTACTTTGTAAACAGTTTTTATTAAAATATATTGCATAAAACTATGTATGTAATAAGTATACAAATTATATAATTAAAATTTTCACACCCATATGTATCATACTCTCAAGAAACAGGATTTTAAGGGCTGGAGGGAGAGCTCAGTAGGCTGACCTACTGAGCTTTACTGCAGGAGGCCCAGGTTTGATGCTAGATCCCACATCCCCAAACACAGATCTGGGAGTAGCTCTGAACACTGGTAAGTGTGTCCCAAAAACCAAAAAAGAAAAAAACGAAAGAGAGATTAGCACTCTAGGAACATCCTCTTAAACTCTGCCTAATGCTCCCACCAATCCCCTTTTCTCCCTGACACATAGGCTCATTAATGTCATAACCTCCCAAACAGTGCTCCGGGGGACATTCCCAGTTATTCTTGGTCTACTAAGCTGGACAGTTCAGTGCTAGTGCCTGGCAATGTGGTGGTTTTGGGGGCCACCAGGTTAGCCTGGTGGTCTTAGTGATTGAGCTGGAGGCCTTGCGCATACAAGATGAGCACCTCCACCCCTGAGCTATCTCCCAAGCCCTTATTTTTGCCTATGTTTTTTTAACACTAATTTTTTAAGAGTTTTTGCAGATGTTTTTTCTTCCTCAATATTATTTATTTATTGAGTTTGGTTTGGGGGCCATACTTGGCTCTGCACTCAGGAATCACTCCTGGCAGTGCTTTAGGGAATCATATGGGGTGCTGGGGATCAAACCCAGGTTGACTGCATGCAAGGCTAGCACTTACTTTCCAATATATATATATATATTTATTATTATTATTATTGTTATTTTGCTTTTTGGGTCACACCCGGTGATGCTCAGGGGTTACTCCTGGCTCTGTACTCAGAAATTACTCTGGCGGTGCTCAGGGGACCATATGGAATACTGGGAATTGAACCCGGGTTGGCCTCGTGCAAGGCAAACACCCTACCTGCTGTGCTATGCTCCAGCCCCTGGCCCTTATTTTTATACTATTGTTTATTTAAAATATTATTCATTCATAGTGAATGTTGACTCTCATTCATTCTCTTGCTTTTTCCATTGTGTTTGCTTTGATTATATGTTAAATATGAGAATGGGGGAAAATTCCTAATTTTCTCATTCTTATCAAATCTTCCTTTTTATCTGTGTTTTGTGGTGTTCCTTTTATCAGTTTCCCACTGGACATCTGATAGTCAGTAAGTGTACCTTTGAGATAAATTTACCTGGGGGATCAGATGATGTGGTATTGAGGATTGGACCCAGGCATCATTCATGCCAAGCAGTGCTCAGCCTATTCCACTATCTCAGGGCCCCTGAGTTTTGTTTTTTTTTTTTTGTTCATGCTGAAAACTTTTATTTATATTAAGTAAATTGCTTCTTTTTTAAATTTATATATATATTTTCCTCTCTCTCTCTCGCTCTCTTTTTCCTCTCTTCTCTCTTCTCTCTCTCTTTTTTTTATTGAATCACTGTGAGATAACCCCTGGGCTTTGACTGTTGCTTGAAGTCAAAGTCTGGAAGGCTGACAAAAAAAGCAGTGCAGGAGGATTGGCTAACTGGTAGAGCACGTGCCGTATGTGTGTACCCTGAAATCAATTCTCTGCCCTTCGAAAGAAAAAAAAGAGTAAAAGAAAAGAGAAAGAAGGTGCAGGGGTCGGGAGGGCCAAATCACAAATCAACAGAGTCTGAAAAAGGACCAGTTAGTTGGTCACGTGCTTATAACAGTCAGACCTTGTGGGCTGTGCTCTGTGGACAGACCAGGACAGACCAACCCTGCATGTTCAGAGGAATGTTTTGGCCAGTATGTGCCCACTCAAGCCAGGACTCACCAGTCTATTTTTCTACTTCTTATTTCAGCCTCTTCCAGTGGTTCGAGACAGCACCAAGTCGGACTTGCCCTCAGTGCCGAATCCAGGTAAGGGTGGTAGAATGGAACCACGTCAGTTGAAAGACACCTGCTTATTGGGAAGCAGGAATGAGAAATGAACTCTGAAAATGGCCTAAATCTTTTTGTGTTTGTTTGTTTTGTTTTGGGGCCACACCTGGTGGTGCTCAGGGTTTACGCCTTGCTCTGTACTTAGGTGTCACTCTTGGTGGTGCTCAAGGGACCATATGGGGTGCTGGGGATTGTACCCGTGTCAGCTGCATGCAAGAGGGGCTGACCTTATGTGCCATACTATCTCTCCGGCCCCGGCCTACGTCTCTGACCTTCTGGGTTCCTCAGGCTTATGGAGCCCACTTATACTTTTGAGTGAATTGAGAGGTCTAGTTATGCCCTGACAGAGGGAACATATTGCCTCAGCTAGTCTTTTATTTCTTTATTTTAATTCTCCTTCCCTTTTGTTTTTTCTTTGTTTTGTTGTTGTTTGGGGGACACACCTGCCTTTGCTCCAGGCTTAGTCCTGGTTCTGCACTCAAGAATCACTCCTGGCAGAACTCAGGGAGCCACATCGGGTGCCAGGAATGCACACGGGTTGGGTGCATGCAAGGCAAATTTTAGCCCCCTTTATTGACATTTTTTGGGGGGCGGTCATACTCGGCGATGCACAGGGGTTACTTCTGGCTCATGCACTCAGGAATTACTCCTGGCAGTGCTTGGGGGACCATATGGGATGCTGGGAATTGAACCTGGGTCAGTTGCGTGCAAGGCAAATGCCCTACCTGCTGTGCTATCGCTCCAGCCCCTATTTTTTCCTCTTTTGCTAACCAGAGGTGTTTACTTGGTAACAGTGCTAGCTAAGGTCCCATAGTTGATTGGGATGCTTCCATATGCCCTTGCTGGGGAAGTCAGAGGTCACATACTTGGTTGCAGTGCCTGCTCACTTATATGGCACACTGTATTGTGGTACCAGAGGTCCCAAAGAGCAGACCGCCAGGGATCGCACTCAAGCAGGTGGGGTGGTGCCAAGGGGTTGAATATGTTGAATATGAAGCCCAACTAACCTTGGGCATGCCAGGGTTGTGGACGCTTTGGTTACAGAGCTAGCCCCAGGCCCCCTGAGTCTGTCTTCACGTGGTAAATTTGACCTCTTTGCTCGCTTTTTCTCTATTCCTCAATGCCCAGCACTTAGACTTAAAGTATCTTTTGAGCAGTCGCCATGTGGGTCTGTGGTGATCTGACTTCAGTAACCATAAAATTACAGATCCAGATCCCAGCTTGGGGTGTTTGCAGGCTGCAGTGGTTGTCTGACTCCAGGGGATAATGGGAGGTTAGAGCTGAGAACAGTCTACTGTTCTCAGCTGCCTATTAGGCAGCACATCAGCCCCTGATCTGCTTGTCCTTGAACCCGGCTATTCATTTACATTCTTTCTTGTTCTCCCATCCAGGTTGGCAAAAAATCTATTATCAACAAACTCTTCTTTGACCTTGCCCAGGAGGAGGAGACTGTCTTAGATGCAGAATTCTTAAAGGTACCTAGAATTTATCTTATTACTGTACCTCTAGCCCCCTGGGATTTCACTTTCTCTCCTCACCCAGAGAGGAAATCTCCAGTATGCAGAAGGACTGCTCCAGGGAATAGAGGTGTAGCTCAGTGAAGCTGTGCCTGTGTGTGTGTGAGGCCCCAGATTCCAACCCCAGAACCAGCAGGAATTTTTCAAGGCATGAACTAGGAGAACACGGAGGACCAGTGATGATAAGGCAGTTATTGGAGAAACATACGATTGAGAAGAAGAAACAGCTCTGCTCTGAGTCCTCTCCGGGCTTCAGTGTACTGTTGTTCATTTTGGATTTGTGTTTAGGTCACACTCAGCAGTGCTCAGAGCTTACTGCTGACTCTGTGCTCAGAGGATCAATCCTCGTGGTGCTGGGGGTGGGGGTGGGGAACCGTATGTGGTGCTGGGGATCCAACAGGAATTGGCCATATGCACAGCAAGTTTCTTAACCCCTGTACTATCTCTCTGGCCCCAGAATACTTCTGACTCATGAGCAGTGTGGTATCTTGGTTTTGTTTTATTTTCTGTTTTTTTGTGCTACATGTGGTGGTGCTTAAGGCTTAGTTACTTGTGATCAGGGATCACTCCTAGTAGGGCAGACTTGGAGGATCATATGGGGTGCAAGGATTTGAATCCTGGTCGACTGCATGCAAAACAATTGCATTACCCACAGGTATCTCTCCATCCCCCAGAGTATCTCTCTCAAGACTCACTCACCTCACAAAAGGATCTACAACCATCTTTCCCAGGCCACTTTTTTGCTGGGGCAGTAAAAAACAGATTAGAAAATTCTTGCCCTCAGCCAGGGAAGATGTGTGGACCGAGTGTTCACAGGACCGAGTGTTCACAGAGCTGGTTCTACCTCAGATATTGCCAGGAAACCTGTTAATGGGCCTGCATCTCCCCCAGGCCAGGATTAGAGGGTGGTGCCTCTGGAATCTGGAGATGTGTAGCTGGGATGGAGCCCCATACTGCAGGGAAGATGAGAGGGTCGCTTCTCCTACACTGCTGCTCCCCACAGCCTGTGATTTCACTCTCTTGGTACACAAGTAGCTGACGTGGCAAAAACCTCCTGAGGAAGTGTTATTGGGGTTCCCAGGGAACCTGGATTCTGAGAGCTCAGTTATCAGGCATGACAAATCAGGGTTCCTTTGGCCCTTGCTCAAGGGTGCAGTGATGTCCTTGGAATCTCGATGCTTCAAAAACGTGGAGCTTTTGTGCTTGGAGCCAACTTGTTCATTGTCATGGTAACTGTTCCCTGTTTAAGCTTGTCTTCCTGGAGACAAAGGCAACAAAAGCAGCTTCATTTCTTTCCTTTCTTCCTTTTCTTTCCCAGCAGTGCTAGGGATCTGAGGGCACCCTGGCATTTCTTGGCTCTGAAGTGTGGGCCTAATGATATTGGTGCTTGAGCCTGTTGGTACTGGAGACCACCAGGGACACACACTTCTGCTGCTTTTGGGGGCCCATGCAGTCCTGGGGATTGAACTAAGTGCCTCAAGTATGCCAGGTATATGCACCAGCCCTTAGAACGTGTCTATTTGATTCGTAATGTGATAGCTTGTATAATTTTTGTTTTGCTTTGTTTTGGGGCCACACCAGCGATGTTCAGGGGTTACTTCTGGTTCTACAGTGAGGAATTACTCCTGGGGATCCATTTGGGATGCCTGGGAATCGAACCTGGGTTAGCTGAGTGCAAGGCAAATGCATACTCACTGTACTATCTCTCTGGCCCCCAATTATAGTTTTTTTGTTTGTTTGCTTCTTTTTTATTCTTTTTTATTCTCTTGCCAGAGACCAAACCAAAACTTCACACAGGCAAGCCAAGTGCTCTACTGCTGATCTACATCCCTAGCCTTCATTTCGTTCCAGCTTTCAAAACCAGATTGGTGGACAGAGTAGGTGGGGACATGGACTTGAAAGGAGCCTGGGCTTGGTGTCTGTTTACAGGAAACCCATGGGTGTCTTTTTTCACCCCTCACCTAGATATTGTGTCTACACTGGCCAACCCAGCCCCCCAAATCTCCTGCCCTCAGAATTCTGGGCAGAGAGTTGCATGGGAGAGGACTTCCTTTTGGTCACATGGGGGATTCTATGTCTGGTAATGACTTGGAAAGATCCTTTTGAAGAAGGATCTGCCTGGATTCCACCCAACTCCCACTGCAGACCCTTGCCCCACCTTCTAGTTCTGCAGAGCCTGTTTTCTCTGCATACTGATGAGGCGCCTCTCTTGTCCACAGGGCTATTGAGGACTCTGGACCCCTGGGTGGGAGATGGGCATAGTTATGGAGTCTCTCAGTTCTGTGAGAGTGATCTAGAATGCATGCTTTGATTTTTCTTTCCAGTGATGCTGGGGACCTCTAGGGCTATCCCTGGTGGTGGTTGAAAAACCATTCAGTGCCAGGGGTTGAACCCAGGGTCCTGTGTATGCCAGGCATGTACTCCAGATCTCAAGGGCTAAGGATGTGATTCAGTAGTAGAGAGCTGGCCTCATATATGAGGCTCTGGGTTTGGTTCCTGGTGACACACACACAAACAAGCATACAGAGGTAAAGCAAGACTTTTTTCCACAGGTGGTTTAACTTGACTTTGAGGTATAACAGAGATGATGCCTCTCTGAATCTACAGTTCTCATTTTCCCCTTGTGAGCCAGCTTGTGAGCCAAGGTTTCCCCAAACCTTATGGGAAGCTATGTGATGCTTGCTATGATGGTTTTTATTATTTATTTATTTATTTGCTGCTTATTGTGGATATTTCCTTACAGAATGAATTGGATAATACCAGAGCCCAGCTTTCCCAAAAAGGTGAGTTAATAAGAGAAAAGGGGCCATGGGAAATTCCTGTCTTGGGTGTTGGAGGGAGAAGCCCTGGGAAGAAAGACCTTCAACCTTCTGACAGCTGGGGACTCTGCTGTGTATGTCCACGAGTTTTGACAGCTCTTGTGATTGACAGAAAAGGAGAGTAAAGGTAACTGAAGATACCCGCCCCCAGCTATGTCAGACTCTTCTCTGTAGCCAAGGCTTCTCTCCCAGGGAGAGAGCTACCTGGTGGGACAGAATGTTCTTGGACAGCTTCTGAGTCTGAAAGGAATCTGTTTGGAACCTGAAATCTGGGATGATGATCTAACTGCAGCCACAGGAGTGGGGAGCAGTGAAATCTTTTGTAGTTCTAAGCAGTAGGAAGAAGGTTTCATCCTCTGAATGAAAAGACTCTGGCTCCGCTTCTCTGACTTGGTGAAGCTGGGAGAGAATCAGGCAACCCACGTTTCTGGCTGAGAGTTGTTCCTTGCATGGCTCAGGATGTCAGAGTGGGTTGAGCGGGGAGGAGGCGTGCCAGCGCCCTAGTGCCTTGGTTCTCATGCTGATGGGGAGATGCAATGGGTCTTGCCTTCCCTCCACCTTCTGCCCCTGCTCCAGAGAAAGAGAAACGAGACTGCCAGGCCATCATTGACACTCTGAGGAACATGCTGGAAGAGCGCAATGCCACCGTGGATTCTCTGCAGCAGGCCTTAGACCAGGCTGAAATGTTGTGCTCCACCCTCAAGGTGGGTCCCCAAGTCCTTTGGGAACAGTTTTGTGGCAAGTGATACCCCACATTCCTGCATTCACCACTCTGGACTTCTGATTCTGCCCAGGTCAATATGTTGGTTTTCAGAATTGTGAGTGAAAGCAGATTTCTTCCCCAGGTCTCCCATGCTATATTCACCAGTTTGTGAGCCAAGGGCCACAGTGAATGCCTTAGGGAATTTGTTGTAGATAGTCTGAGTGGCAAGGCCTTCCCAACACTTGTTGGAGGGGCTGCTCAGCAAGACCTCAGTGAGGTGGGACCATGTTTTCAAGAGTGATTTGTACTCCACTGATGAACCGGCCTAAAGGACCTTTCCTGAGCACTCTATTCCTTAATGGGGTGCTCTCTGGAGCCAGATCAAATAGCATCCCAGGGAGGTGCATGGGGCCTTTGAAGTTGGCGGTGCTGAGCTGACCAGGCAGATCAAAGCCTGCAGAGCTAGCAGCCTGAGACCCAGATTAATTTTGTATTAGCCTGGCATGGTGAGCCTCTTGCTCTCCAAGGATATGAGGTGATTGATCTGAGACCCAGTTGATATTCTGGCCTTGTTGGAAGGACCAGTCATTTCTGATGCCATTTGAAAAGGAAAGAGAGCATCCTCCTGAACTGAAAGAGCCCAGAATGTTTGTTGCCTCTGCTCCTGCCTGGTTTCTGGTCTGGCCATCAGGAGGGAAAGAGCAAGCAAGCCCTTGGCTGCAGGGAAGGCCCTGTGAGGGCCTTTCCAGCTTCAAGCTGAGTGGCTTTTTTTTCCTTTTGGGTCACCCGGCGATGCTCAGGGGTTACTCCTTGCTTTGCACTTAGGAATCACTCCTGGCGGTGCTCGGGGGACCATATGGGAATTGAACCCGGGTCGGCCACATGCAAGGCAAACGCCCTACCCACTGTGCTATTACTCCAGCCCCTGAGTGGCTTTTTTGCTAAGGGTGTCTGCCCAGTCTGGCTTCACTCGCCTCGCCTGGCAATTGCTTGTGGGTCTGGATTTGTGCTCTGAGTATCTTCAAGGTGCTGTACAGCATGTGCTATGGCACTCAGGCCATAGCATAGGAACTTGGCAGCCCCCAGTGGGCCTGTAGATATTGCCAGTGAACTCTGCACATGTTCTCAAAATGAAGTAGGTAGAGGACTAAGGAAGCAGTTGGTCTCAGCCCTCTTAGAAAAATTATGACCCAGGGAGTCACCCTTCTCTCCTAGGTCTTGGGAGTTGTGGTCACCAGCTTTATTAAAAGCGAGCAATTCTAGGGCGAAGCTCTCCTAATGGTTTTTGCAGTGGCCCTGGCTGGGCTGGCTGCAACAGTAGGTGTGGGTGTGTTTGCTCTTCAGAAGCAGATGAAATTCTTAGAGCAGCAGCAGGATGAGACCAAACAAGCACGGGAGGAGGCCCGCCGACTCAGGAGCAAAATGAAGACCATGGAGCGGTGAGCTTGGAAATGGGGCCTGCCCTGTGCTCTTGCACCCAAGGCCTCCAGATTACCCACTTGGACCGCAGCAGAGGTTGGGTTACTTCTGTAGTATCCCCTGTTGTTCGTGTAGCTGGAGTTGGGATACAGCCTCCATTAACTCACTGGGGCCCCTTGCCAAACTCCTCCCTCTCCCTGTTGACTGTGGCCAGAGGACTTGGCGATTCTTTTACACTAAGAACCTCTTTCCTGATCTCCTTGGCCTGAGTCTCTGTCAGCACCCCTACAACCCATAGCATCCCTGCAGCTGTGCTCATCTCTGCTGTGGGGCCTTTCATTGGGCAGGCCCGCCTGCTGAAGCATCCTAGCAGCCAGGCTGTCACCATGGCAACGACAGCAAAGGGAGGCAGAGCTGCACTTGGTACCTACCCGTCAGCCTCCAGATTTTAAATGTCGTGGGCTGGGTGTTTTTCAGGATTGAGCTTCTACTCCAGAGCCAGCGACCTGAGGTGGAGGAAATGATCCGAGACATGGGAGTAGGGCAGTCAGCGGTGGAGCAGCTGGCTGTGTACTGCGTGTCCCTTAAGAAGTGTGTACTGCCCCCCCCCCCCCACCAGCCTAGGAGCTAAGTCATGGCACCCGGCTATGTCTCTTTCTCCTGGCCATCTTGTATGGTAGAGCAAGTGATCTTGAGGGCCAAGATCTGGAGACCTGCTTAGTTTGAACTCATCTTTCACTTTGTGTCCTGGAGCCAGCTCCTCCCTTCTCCTTTTCCCCCTCCTCCCCTCTCTTTTCTCTTCTCTTCCCTCTCTCCTCTCCCCTCCCCTCTTCTCTCCCCTCTGCTCTTCTTTCCCTTCCCCTCTCCTTCATTTTTTTGGGTCACACCAGCTGTGCTCAGGGCTTATTCCTGGCTCTGTGCTCAAGGGTCATTCTTGATAGGACTTAAGGGACCATATGGGGTGCTGGGAATTGAACCTGCGTTGCTGTGTGCAAAACAAGCATCTTACTCATCTCATTGTACTATCTCTTTTGACCCCAGAAGCCAGTTCCTTCTATTTTCCTTTTTTTTTTTTTTGGTTTGTTTTTGGGCCGCACCTGTCTATGTTCTGGGCGTATTCCTATCTCTGCTCAGGGGTTACTCTTGGTGGGGCTCATATGTGGTGCTAGATTGGCTTCATGCAAGGCAAGTGCACTCCCTGCTACACCCTGTCCGCTGTACTATCTCTCCAGCCCTAAGAGCCGGTTTATTATCCTCTCTTACCCCTTGAATTCTGGACTGAAAATAGTAATTAACATGCTTTTTAGGGTTATTGAGAGATTTGAGTGTAAATTCTTAGTGTTTTTTGTTTTTTTCTTTTTTGGAACGATGGGCATCCCTAGTGGTGCTCTGAAGGCCTGGAGACCACTTCCAGTGATAATTCAGCCAACCAGGCTGAGCAGTTCAGTCCTGAATCCCAGTGGTGCTTGGAGGGGAGGGGGGTTGTCACTGAGGCCGTATTTGGTGGTGCTCAGGAGATCATATGATTCCAGGGATTAAACTTATTTCTTTGGCCTCTGCAAGGCATGTGCTCTGGACTACCTCCCTAGCTCCTCTATGTGTAATTTTTGGTGTGTGTGTGTGTGTGTGTGTGTGTGTGTGTGTGTGTTGTGGTGCTGATCATTGAACTCAGGCCCAGCCTTTGAGATACATTCCTGGCCCTCCTGAGTTTTTTTGCTTTCCTTTCCTTTTCCTCTCTTCTCTTCTCTCCCCACCACCCTCCTTTTTCCTTCCTTCCTTCCTTCCTTCCTTCCTTCCTTCCTTCCTTCCTTCCTTCCTTCCTTCCTTCCTTCCTTTTGTTTTTGCGTAACACCCTATGGTGCTCAAGGCTTGCTCTTGGCTCTCTGCTCAGGGATCACTCCTGGTGGTGCCGGGGACCAAACCAGGGTCAGCCATGTGCAAGGCAAATGCCTTACCCCTGTACTGTCTCTGCGCCCCTTAAGTGTTATTTCTAAAGAGATTGGCTCTCTGAGCCATAAGTGTCATCAGATCTGAAGCCTGTTTCCCAGGAGCACTGCCCCTTACTCTGCCTGGCCGGCATTAGAAACTGCTCAGATTTGCAGTACTGTGGTATATGATTTGGGAAAAGAGGACACAACTGACAGACATGTAAGTTTCCAGGTGTCACCTCTCTTGGGTTCTGGGGTGTTGGTGGTCTCCTCAAAGGATCAGGCATTCCTGCATATCCTCAGAAACCCCTAGTTTCTACAGGAAACAGAAGTCCCCGGCTCTTTGTTATGGGAATAGAACCCTTCCCAGTGCCATCTGGTCCCTGTTGGGTTCATGTATATCAGAGAGGAGTGAAAATGACTGAGGGGCTGGCCTGAGGTTTTTGGTCATGGGTTGGTGCCATGACTCAGTCTAGCCTGTTTTTGACATCACTTCCATGGCCCCTTGACAGAGAGTATGAGAATCTTAAAGAATCACGGAAGACCTCGGGAGAGCTAACTGACAAGCTGAAGAAAGACTTGTTTTCCTCTAAAAGCAAGGTAACAGAGAGAAGAGGGAAAAGAGAGATGACTATTTTTTTGTCATGTACAGTTATGTCTCCTAAGCAAGGCCTTAGAAATGGATGGTGCAGCTGCTTCCATGAAGCCGTTGGGTGATTTGGAGAGTCTGGCTACTGGTGCTTACTTACAGGGCATTCACCCAAAACATGCATAGGCTTCCTCTGCTCTGTGCTTCCTTTACTCATCCTCACTAAACCTCTGGCTGGGGAGAGCACAGCTTTCAAATGTGATGACTTTATTTATTTATTTTTTATTTTTATTAGTGAAACACCATGAGGTACAGTTGTAGACTTACAGATTTTTGTGCTTGGATTTCAGTTATACAGTGATCAAATACCCATCCCTCCACCAGTGCCAATTTTCTACCACCACGGGTCCCAGTATCCCTCCCACCCCCCCGTTCCCCCCCCATCCCACCCTGCCTCTGTGGCAGGGCATTCCCTTTTGTTCTCTCTCTCCTTTTGGGTGTTGTGGTTTGCAAAAGAGGCATTGAGTGTCAATCATGTTTGGTCTATAGTCTACTTTCAGCATGCTTCTTCCATCCTGGGAGGATCCTCCCAACACCCTTTATTTGGTGCTCCCTTCTCTGTCTGAGCTCCCTTTTCCCCTAGCATGTGTGGCTAACCTCCAAGCCATGGAGCAAACCTCCTGGTACTAATCTCGGCCACTCTTGGGTATTAGTCTCCCATTTTGTTACTTTATGTTCCCCAGATGAATGCAGTCTTTCTATGTCTATCCCTCTCTTTCTGACTCATTTTGCTTAACATGATACTTTCCATGTAGTACCACTTGTATGTAAATTTCATGACTTTATCTTTTCTAACAGCTACTTAGTACTCCATTGTGTTAGATGTACCAAAGTTTCTTTAACCAGTCATCTGTTCTTGAGCACTCAGGTTTTTTCCAGTTTCTGACTATTGTAAAGAGTGCTGCAATGAACAAACAAGTGCAGATGTCACTTCGACTATACATTTTTGCCTTTCTGGGATATATTCCCAGGAGTGGTATTGCTGGGTCAAATGGGAGCTCAATTTCTAATTTTTTGAGAATCATCCATACTGTTTTCCAAAAGGGCTCAACCAGTTGGCATTCCCACCAGCAGTGAAGGAGAGTCCCTTTCTCACCACATCCGCGCCAGCATCGGTTGCTTTTGTTCTTTTGCATGTGGACCAGTCTCTGTGGTGTGAAATGATATCTCATTGTTGTTTTGATCTGCATCTCCCTGATGATTAATGATGTGGAGCATTTTCTCATGAGCCTTTTAGCCATTCGGATTTCTTCTTTGAGAAAGTTTCTGTTCATTTCGTCGCCCCATTTTTTGATGGGGTTGGATATTTTCTTCTTGTGGAGTTCAACCAGTACTTTGTATACCCTTGGTATCAACCCCTTGTCAGATATGTATTCGGCAAATATCCTTTCCCATTCTGTAGACTATCTTTGTATTTTGTTCACTGTTTCTTTTGAGGTGCAAAGGCTTCTTAGTTTAAGATAGTCCCATTTATCTATCTCTGTTTTCACTTGCTTGGCCAGTGGCATGACATCTTTGAAGATACCTTTAGCTTCAATATCATGGAGGGTTTTGCCAACTTTGTCTTCAATGTACCTTATGGATTCCGGTCTGATGTTGAGGTCTTTAATCCATTTTGATCTTACTTTTGTACATGGCATTAGTCAGAAATCCGAGCCCACTTTTTTGCATGTAGCCGTCCAGTTTTGCCAGCACAATTTGATAAAGAGGCTTTCCTTGTTCCACTTCTCTTGCCCCCTTATCAAAGATTAGATGATCATATGCTTGTGGGGAGATGTCAGTATATTCTACCCTGTTCCATTGGTCTATTGCTCTGCCTTTGTTCCAGTACCATGCTGTTTTAATTATTACTGCTTTGTAGTAGAGTTTGAAGTTAGGGAGGTTGATTCCTCCCATTTTCTTTTTCCCCAGAATTGCTTTAGCTATTCGTGGGGGCTTATTGTTCCATATAAATTTCAGGAGTGTTTGCTCCATTTCTTTGAAGAATGTCATGGGTATTGTAATAGGGATCGCATTGAATTTGTACAGTGCTTTGGGAAGTATTGCCATTTTGACGATGTTAATTCTCCTGATCCATGTACAGGGGATATTTTTCCATTTTCTCGTGTCCTCTTTTATTTCCTGAAGTAGCATTTTGCAGTTTTCTTTGTACAGGTCCTTTACTTCCTTAGTTAAGCTGATTCCTAGGTACTTGATTTTCTGAGGCACAATTGTGAACGGTATTGTTTTCTTCATTTCACTTTCTTCTCTTTCACTATTTGCATATAGGAAAGCCACGAACTTTTGGGTATTTTATAACCTTCCACTTTACTATACAAGGCTATTGTTTCTAGGAGTTTCTTGGTAGAGGTTTTTGGATTCTCTAAGTATAGTATCATATCATCTGTGAATAGTGAGAGCTTGATTTCTTCCTTTTCCACCTGGATGCCCTTAATATCTTTTTCTTGCCTAATCGCTATTGCAAGTACTTCCAGTACTATGTTGAACAGTAGTGGAAAGAGTGGGCATCCTTGTCTCGTTGCTGATCTTAGGGGGAAGGCTCTCAGTTTTTCTCCATTGAGGATGATGCTTGCTGTAGGCTTGTGGTAGATGGCTTTAACTATATTGAGGAAAGTCTCCTCCATCCCCATTTTGCCGAGGGTTTTCATCTTAAACGGGTGCTGGATCTTGTCAAATGCTTTATCTGCATCTATTGATATGATCATATGGTTTTTGTCTTTTCTTTTGTTGATATGATGGATTATGTTGATTGATTTCCGAATGTTAAACCATCCTTGCATCCCCGGGATGAATCCCACTTGGTCATGGTGTATGATCTTTTTGATGAGTTGTTGAATTCTATTTGCTAGTTCAAATGTGATGACTTTAGAAGCCTGTTCTTCTACTAGGTCAGCAAAGGAAGACCCTTGGAACCTGAGTCAGTCATCTACACAGCTGCTTTCATTTCTGGGCATGTGTATCCGTGGGCTTGCTCCTGGGAAGCTCCAGAGGGATACTGCCACATGAGAGCCCTGTCACATAGAGCTAGGCCCCTGAGCTACCTGACTATTGTGGGAGCAGGGCACATGGTGACCTTTAGGCTCATCCTTTAATCCCTCTCCATTTTTGTTGTTTTGTTTTGGGTTATTTTTTTTGGGGGGGGGAGCGTGTGTGTGTGTGGGGGGGGTCACATCCAGCAATGCTCAGGGGTTACTCCTCACTCTGCACTCAGGAATCACTCCTGGTGGTGCTCAGGGGAACATATGGGATGCTGGGCATTGAACCCTGGTCAGCTGTGTGCAAGGCAAGCGCCCTCCCCTGTCTCTCTAGCCCCTTTTGTTGGTTTTTTTTTTTTTTTTTTTGCTTACTCCTGACTCTGCTCTCAGGATTCACTCCTGGCAGGTCTTGGGGGAGTATATGGGGTACCAGGGATCAAACAACTCAGGTCAGTCATGTACAAGGCAAGCACCCTACATGCTGTACTGTTGTTCCGGCCCCCTACCCGTTTTTATAGTTGCAGGCAGCCTACTGTGATCTGGACCAGGCCAAGTTGGAGCTTAAGTCAGCCCAGAAGGACTTACAGAGTGCTGACAAGGAAATCACGGTGAGAGACTTTCTTAGCCAGGTGGGAAATGGATGATTTGGGGGCCTTCATATGGGAGAGCTACTGTGGCCAGAGTGATAGTATGGTGGGCAGGGCACTTGTACTGGGTTTGATCCCCAGCACCCTACATGATGCCCCAAGCCCTCCAGCAGTGGTTTCTGAGCACAGGGCCAGGAGTGAGCCCAGAACACTACTGTTTGTGGCTCAAAAGCATAAACAAGCTTAAAAATGGCAGAACAGGACTCTGCTGGGAACCTGAGCACCAGAGAGTGATGTTCATGTTGAACTTCCTCTGCCCCCTGGATCACGGTAGGTCAGGAGCCCAGTCCTTCGTAACAGAGGGTGGCAGCATCACAGGTCATCCCTGGTTTGTCCTGGCCTTCTGATCCTGCTCTTGGACTTTCAGACCTTGCTCTGTTCCGAGGGGAGGGTGGAGGGGCAGAGTGGCTTGCCCTTTGTGGTACTGCTCATGTCCCTGGTAGTCTCTCTGAACTTGATGGCACCAGCTTTTCTTTTACACTTTTCTTTTAATTCCCCCTAGAGCCTAAAAAAAAAACTAACGATGCTGCAGGAAACACTGAACCTCCCGCCAGCAGATAGAGAGACTGTGGACCGCCTGGTTTTGGAAAGGTTTGTTGGCCCTCTGGAGTAGTAGCAGGGCCACACACTGGACACTGCCTTAACTCCCCCTAGCTTTGGTGGAGGGGCCTGCCCTGGATAATAGCTGAGGTTTAGCAGTAGCAGGAAGCAGTCTGGAGACAAGTATTGGACTCTGACCAGGAAAAGCTAGGGCAGACCAGACAGGCCTGTTGTGAGATAGGTAAGAGCACTGACTGTCTTGGGGCTGCCTGTGGATGCAACGACTTGCTCAATTCATCTGGCTCCCAAATTCTGCACTCTTGTTTCTTTCTTTTTTGCTTTTTGGGTCATACCTGGCGATGCACAGGGTTTACTCCTGGCTCTGCACTCAGGAATTACCCCTGGCAGTGCTCAGGGGACCATATGGGCCATATGGGATGCTGGGAATCGAACCTGGGTCGGCCACGTGCAAGGCAAACTCCCTACCTGCTGTGCTAAAACATTTTTTTTTAATAAATAATCATTATTTATTTATTTATTTACTGCTTTCTGGATCACACCCGGCGATGCACAGGGGTTACTCCTGGAATCTGCACTCAGGAATCACCCCTGGAGGTGCTCAGGGGACCATATGGGATGCTGGGAATCGAACCTGGGTCAGCTGCGTGCAAGACAAACGCTCTACCCACTGTGCTATCTCTCCAGCCCCATGTGCTAAAACATTTTACTTATTTTTTTTTTCTTTTTTGGGTCACACCCGGCAATGCATATGGGTTACTCCTGACTCTGCACTCAGGAATTACTCCCGGCAGTGCTCAGGGAACCATATGGGATGCTGGGAATCAAACCCAGGTCGGCCACGTGCAAGGCAAACACCCTACCCGCTGTGCTATTGCTCCAGCCCCTAAATTCTGAAGCAAAACAAAAACCATCTACACAAGAATCCCCCATTCCTGGAATGTGCAGTCAAGTCGCCAGCAGAGGGAGCCAAGAGGCAGAGGGAAGTGTGTCCCTGCATGGTGAAATGGTGCTGCTATTTCTTTTTTTTTTTTTTTTTTTTTTTTTAGTGAAACACCATGAGGTACAGTTGTAGATTTACAATTTTTTGTGCTTGGGTTTCGATTATACAATGATCAGATACCCATCCCTCCACCAGTGCCCATTTTCCACCACCATGGATAATATCCCCTACCCCCATTCCCCCATCCCCGCCTGCCTCTGTGGCAGGGCAATCCCCTGTGTTCTCTCTCTCCTTTTGGGTGTTGTGGTCTGCAAAAGAGGCATTGAGTGGCAAACATGTTCAGTCCATAGTCTACTTTCGACATGCATCTCCCCTCCTGGGAGGATCCTCCCAACACCCTTTATTTGGTGCTCCCTTCTCTATCTGAGCTGCCGTTTCCCCTAGAATGCCCGGCTGGCCTCTAAACTATGGAGTAATCCTCCTGGTGCTGATCTCAGCTATTCTTGGGTGTTAATCTCATATTTTGTTACTTTATATCCCCCAGATGAATGCAATCTTTCTATGTCTATCCCTCTTTCTACTCATTTCGCTTAGCATGATACTTTCCATGTTGTACCACTTGTATGTAAATTTCATGACTTCATCTTTTCTAACAGCTACATAGTACTCCGAAGTTTCTTTAACCAGTCATCTGTTCTTCGGCACTCAGGTTTCTTCCAGTTTCTGGCTATTGTAAAGAGTGCTGCAATGAACAAACAAGTGCAGATGTCACTTCGACTATACATTTTTGCCTCTCTGGGATATATTCCCAGGAGTGGTATTGCTGGGTCAAATGGGAGCTCAATTTCTAATTTTTTGAGAATCGTCCATACTGTTTTCCAAAAGGGCTGAACCAGTCGACATTCCCACCAACAGTGAAGAAGTGTCCCTTTCTCGCCACATCCGCGCCAGCATTGGTTGCTTTTGTTCTTTTGAATGTGGGCCAGTCTCTGAGGTGTGAGATGGTATCTCATTGTGGTTCTTTTTGGATCTACCTGGTGATGCATAGGGGTTACTCCTGGCTCTGCACTCAGGAATTACCCCTGGTGGTGCTTGGGGGACCATATGGGATACTGGGAATTGAACCCGGGTCGGCCGCGTGCAAGGCAAATGCACTACCGCTGTGCTATTGCTCCAGCCCCCAATGGTGCTGCTTTCTCCCCAAGTGGCTCCCTGCAGCCAGCCAGCTTGGGACTGCGCCTACCCTGCTGTCCAGCAAAAGGCAAGGCCTTTTATTTGAGCGTCTTCAGTATCTATGGAAAGATCATTATGTTCTCTATTTCCCACTTCCAGTTGTTGGTATCTGCCCAGGTAAACTGGGGTGCCTCCTTGTACCACATCCACGTGAGGCTCATGACCCATCTGTCCTACCGCTAATTCCGCTCTGCCCAGATATACAAGCTCCTCAACAGCCTGTTTAGACACCCCAAACTCACACCCTTAGCACTGTACCTAAGGGCTCACGGGCCGTCCTTATGAGCTGCAGTGGCTTTGGGTGCATCATCCTGGCATGCAGGGCACTCCTTGCCTTCCTCTTCTGTGCCTTTTTGTGTTCTTCATGCTGCAGAGTCAGCAGGAATGAGCATCCTCTCCTCTGCGCAGGCATCACTTGTTATCCAGAGATCACAGTGGCACTCTTGCTGGCACCTGGCTCACCCACCAGGTGTGAGCCATGCTGAGACCAGGAATCACATCTGTGGCCCTCTTCCCTAGCTGTTTTTACCGTGCACGCCTTTTCCCATCGTATTGTGCTGGCGTCCTCTCATGTCTATTGTACCTTTTCTTTTTCAGTTCCACTCTTTCTTTCTTGCTCTGCATCCTCCAGCACCTCTTTAGGGAATCAGCAGCCTCCTCGCCTGCCCTGGTTTGGTCTGCACTGGCAGAGGACTACATAACTGATAACTGTGTGACTCTCTGAGATCCAGTGTGTGGTCAATTTTGACAAACTAAGCTTGGTTGTGATCCTTCTTCCCCACCCTCTGGTCACACCAGCCATGCTGCGTTGAGGCCCCAGGAACATGAGGGCTCTGTCAGGCGCTGGACATACAGTGCCCACTCTCAAGGAGCTGGCAGAAGACATGTAGACCTCACCATATCTACACTTGGTCTGAAAGCTTCTAATGGGGGATTAACCCTTTTACCTGAGTCAGTCTGATTTTACCCCATGCAGGGACCTGCATCCCACATGAGGTTGAGAATGGAGCCCTGAAGCTGTGGTGGTGCTGCGGGGGTTGGTGCTGCCCCCCTGGGCACTGGGGCAAGAGGGGGCCATTTCTACAAATCTTTGGAGAAATACCTTACCTGTCCAAGCCTTTTGCTGCTTTTGAATGAGCATTTTGTTGATGTTGTCTTAGAAGTTCTCTATATATTCTGGATATTGGTCCATTACAGATAAATGGTTTGAAAATATTTTCTCCTGTAATTGTCTTAAAAGTCTTTGGATTGTTGCACTTTTGATGCTTATAATTTTACTTTTTTTATTAATTTTTTTAATAGAAGTACTATTTATTTATTTATTTATTTGCTTTTTGGGTCACACCCAGCGATGCACAGGGGTTATTCCTGGCTCTGCACTCAGGAATTACCCCTGGCGGTGCTCTGAGAACCATATGGGATGCTGGGAATCGAACCCAGGTTGGCCACGTGCAAGGCAAATGCCCTACCTGCTGTGCTATTCCCCCAGCCCCTTATTAATCTTTTTAAAAATTTTATATTAAGCAGAAATTCTACAAAAAATAAAGTTTACAAGGTCTGAAGATTGCACAAGGGTTAACATGCCTGCCTTGTATCCTGCCTATCCCAGTTTGTATTCCTGGCACCACATATGGTCCCTTAATACTTCTCAGAGTGACCCCTAAGCACTACCATGCATGGCCCAACCTCCCTCTCCCCAATTAACTACTTAAAATTATGAGCATTTCCGACTTTTCTTTTTCTTTTTTGATACTTGGGCCACACACAGCAATGCTCAGGGCTGTGCTCAGAAGTCTTTCCTGGTGGTGCTTGGGAGACTATAAATGGTGCCAGGATTGAACCATGTTTGGCTGCTTACAAGGCAGACACCTTCACCCCTGTACTGCTTCACCAGCCCAAACACTTTTCTTTCCCACATTAGTGGTTCTCCGGAACCACTAATGTCTGTAGCAGATTCAAACTGTGAAAGTGCCAGTTCTGCCTGGGATCATTTTGGCAGCATCTCAGATTCTGCTGTTTGTCATGACTAGTAGCACTAGAGGGACATTCCTCTACACAAGCCTGTGGTCACCTCTCTGGCTCCTTGTATGGCATTTCTCAGTCTGAGAAATGAGACAATTCGGTCCACAGGTCTTTTGTTCATGCATTTGGACTTGTGTGAGTTCATTTGGACTTGTGTCCTTCTTTCCTCCATGCCTTTCAGACTTTTTCTGGTGCCATGATTGTGTGAAAGACTTAACCAAGTGTTTTGTTTTGTTTTCTTTTTTCCTTTAGAAATAATGGCTTCCTTGTAGGGTTCCCCTAAGCCAGGCTTCTGGTGCTTAGAGGACAGCTGTCCTCGAGGCTGCCTCTGTGGCCCTGAGTAACCAGCCCATCTCTGCCTACAGTCCAGCCCCTCTGGGTATGCTGAACCTGAAGCTTCGCCGACCAATCTTCAATGATGAAATTAACCTCAATGCTACCTTTGATGTGGACACCCCCTCAGACCGATCCTCTGGCATCCACTGTGGTCTTGCCAAGAAGCACTGCTTAGAGAAGGCATAGTAAGTGGTCTGCTCTGAACCTGCCCATAGCCTAGAAGGAGGCTGCCTTAGAGATATCTGCATATAACTCCTTCCCCAAGAGTTCTTTGTGCCTCATAGGGTGCTAAGTATCCCTTGGGCTTAGACAAGACTTTGGTTCCAGCTATTTGAGTACCAACCCGGCTTTGATTCCTCCGCCCCTCTCGGAGAGTATCTTTTTTTTTTTTTTTTTTTTTTTCTTTTTGGGTCACACCTGGCAATGCACAGGGGTTACTCCTGGCTCTGCACTCAGGAGTTACTCCTGGCGGTGCTCAGAGGACCATATGGGATGCTGGGAATCAAACCCGGGTTGGCCGCATGCAAGGCAAACGCCCTACCCGCTGTGCTATCTCTCCAGCCCCATCTCAGAGAGTATCTTGCCCAACCGCAAAGCCTGGCAAGCTACCCGTATTCAGTATGCCAAACATAGTAACAACAAGACTCACAATGGAGACGTTACTGGGCCCGCTCGAGCAAATCAATGAGCAATGGGAGGACAGTGCTACTCTGTGCAAAGCTTATTTTTGCTTGTCTTATTAATCTTTATTATCTTTCAAGTAAAAAGTGATGGAACATAGATTAGAAAGGACACAGAGTGGGCCGGAGCAATAGTACAGCAGGTAGGGCATTTGCCTTGCACGTGGCTGACCCAGGATCGATCCCCAGCGTTCCATATGGTTCCCTGAGCACCACTAGGAGTAATTCCCGAACACAGAGCCAAGAGTAAGCCCCGAGTATCACCAAGTGTGGCCCAAAAACAAAAGGAAAGGATACTATAAGCAGCTCTGGGGGAGGAAGAGTTTTCTTCTAAGTCTCTAAGAAGAACCAGCTCTAACCATGGGTCCCCACTCCCATAGTTAGAGATGGGGTGGCTTGCAGGGGCAGGCATAAGAGCATATGGAACCACACTCAGGGTGCAGGGCTAGAAATGGGGAAGCTGTCTCCATGGCCAGGGTAGCCAAGTATGTTCATTTTTGTGTTTTTGTTTTGGGACTGTACCCTGTGGTGCAGCGGGGTTGTTCCTGGCCCTGTGCTCAGAGCTCATTCCTGGAAGTACTCGAAGGACCATATGCAGTGCTGGGTTTGGATTAGGGTCAGCCACATCAAGACAAGTGCCTTAGTCCTGGTACTGTGTCTCTGGCCCAAGTATGTTCTTCATAGAGAGAAGCATTCCCCTATACACACATAGGTGTCTACTGTTTTGGTAGAGGATTTTAGGGGCTGGGCAGCTTTCCTTTCAGTTAAAGACTTTGCACAGGACAATGAGAAACTGAGATTAGGCAGTAGAGGAAGCCCAAGAAATGGACAAGAGAAGGAGCTCACTGAATTCTTTGTGCCTTCCTGTGCTACTCAAGGCCAGCCCTGTAGAAAAGAAACTGAAGACCTGGGCTATAGTCATGCTGCTGCCGCCTGCTGCATACTCTGGCTTCTCACATTGCCGCCTCTTTAGCTATAAGTATGAATATGAGCTCCTGTGACCTGTTGGCTGCCAGGCTTTTAAAACTTTTCTGCCCTCTTCAGGGGGGAAAGAGGAAACTCAGGATGTCCCCAAATCAGGTCAGCCTCCCCAGGGCCAGACACAAAAGCAGATGGAGGATCTTGTCCTAGTTGTCCAGAGTCAGCAGGCTCTGATCCAGCACCTGTCACATGGCTTGAGGAGCCACCGTGCCAGCATCCTCCCACCTACCTGGGAACTAACAGGAAAGAGTAGCAAGCTGCTGGGGTCCCCAGAAATTGGAAATAGTGTTCAGCTTTGGAGCTGGGAGAGGGAACCCAGAGCCTGTTCTTTTCTGCCCCAGTCCCTGTCTACACAGATGATTTAGGGAGATGACCTTGCCCTGAAGTCCACAAACATTTAATAGACTCTCCAGTTTATAGAGTCCCTTGGACATACCCCTCTCTAGAGAGTTTGGGCCAGGTCTGGGCTGGGGAAAGTGCTCAGAGGGCTAGAGTTCATGCTTTGCATGTGGAGACACAGGTTTGGTTGTAATATTTTTGTTCTGTTTTGTGGCCACACCTGGTGGTGGTCAGGGATCACTCCTGGTGGTGCTCAGGGGACCATATGCAGTGCGAGGGATAGAACATGGATCAGCTGCATGCAAGGCAAATGCCTTACCCACTATACTATCTGATACTCTGGCCCCAGAGATTCACATTTGATCTCCAATACTGTGTGGTTCCTGAAGTACCACCAAATGTGGCCCAAAAACAATCAGACTGGACTAGGATGGCACCTAACTGATTTCTGCTATGGGTTGGGAATCAGCTGGGCTCTTGCCCTACATAGACCCTGGAGCAGGTGTCATAACCATAGCCTTGGGGTCATTCAATGGGTTTGGCCTGAGTAGGAGTCACAAGACAGGGACATGATCCAGAGTTCCCTGCCTTGACCACTCTCGCAGCTGTGGCAGCTGTCCAGCTGTTCATAGACCTGCAGTTGGAATAGGATCACTGAGTGCCTGTCCCAGCACACAGATGTGACAGCAGTCCTGCCACATGGGCTTCCTAACTAGCATGTCCCTGTGTCTGCCTCTGGCCTGCGTGCAAACTCCTCCCTCTTTTGCAGCAATTCAGTTGAGGACATCTCCAAGAAGATGCCCAGCAACGCCATGCAGGTAAGGCTTGCAGAAGAAGCACAGTCACTGTCCAACCCCTGCCAAGTCTGCCTCTGAAGCTGGACTACAGCAGGCAGGGTCCTGCCATCACCCTCTCTCCTGACTCAAGACTGAGGCACTGTGGAGCCACTCTTGGACCCTGATCCTGTTTCATCACCACTTCCCATCTTCCCACCCCCACCCCTTGCCATCTAACTCATCAGATCTGCCCTGGGGGTCTTCCCTGCAGGAGTCCCCACTCCCTCTGAGCAGCCAGCACCGCCTGCAAGAGCCAGATGAGGAGCTGGGTAGTGCCTTCCCTGTCTTCATCCGGAATTCAGTCCTGGGCCGGAAGCAACCCCTGAAGAAGAGAATTGAGTCGAGTCGCAGCACAGATGGGGTGAGTGTGGTTTTTGGCCAGTGACAAGGGCCAGCCCTCACAGTTGGATGGGGTGGCCAACTCCCTAAACCATTAGCCTGGCACTCTTCCTTCTTCCTTCTTCCTTAGATAAGGACAGGCTTCGATGGATTTGGAGGCCGGACAAAATTCATCCAACCTGTATCCTTGTTTGTGAGCAGGGCCATGGAGCTCATACATTCCCTCACCTGAACCCCATCTCTAGCCTGCCAGTGACTGCAGCCTCAGGTGCAGAGGCAGACCTCATTCATGTAGCAGGACTGTCCACCCCGCAGCCAGAGCCTTGCCTGCATCCCAGTTTCTTTTTTTATTTTTTTAATTGCCTCTTCCTTGACACCTTGTTCAGAGTGACAGTCCTGTCATCCGTTCACGTCCACTGCTTGTGAGGCCTAAGGCCAAGGCTAAATCAAGAGTGAGGGCAAAGACAACGCTCCCTGCCTCCCAGGCCAAGCTGGACACGTACCTGTGGTAGCAAGAACACTTGAATCTTATCAGTGGTCAGATAAACCTCCAATGTAGAGGCTGAAGACTGGTCTTGAGGACATGACTCTTCGTGGAGCCACTGTGACCCACGCACTACTCTGCCAGCCAGGCAGGCTAATAGAGGTCCCACTTATAGTCATGATCAGACGTGGGTTGACTGTTTCTCATTCTCCACACCAGAGTCTTGACTGTATAAAGTGTTTGAGGCTTCCTGGGCAACTCCAGCCTGCCTAGGCTTCCATCTGCCCCTGATTTGCTGCTAGGCATTCCCTACCAAACAGAGTAGGGAATAGGGTGTGGTGGGGGAGGGTTTATATGTAAAATAATAAGGAATTTCTTCCTACCTTTGAGTGTCTACGTTTAAAATAATAAAGAATTTCTTCTTCTAGCTCTGAGTGTCTACATTTGTACACAAACTGTGGGAAAGTCTTTGGCATGACTTTCTAAAGCACAACCTAGACTCAGATTCAGAGGTTTCACACAGAGGCATGTGCTCTAATCAGCTTTAAAAACTTATGAAAGATCACTAAAAGTACAAGAAATAAGTATGGATCAAGACTTAGTGACTAAAAGTACCTGCTATGCAAACATGAGGCCATGAGTACAATCCCAGTGCCACCTACATGCAGTGAGTAGTCCTGGCAATTCTGTCTGGGTTACACACACAGCACAACAGTACATAGCCAGGTGTGTGCCCCCACTTCCACTGCAAGCATCATAGCTAAAGGTATGCTAGTAATGGCCATGAGTGTGACCCCAGGAGAGCATGTGTGAGGACCACAGTGACTCTTGGCAGGCATGCTGGTGCCCCACAACTGGCATGAGTGCAACCTTGCCTGCATGTGCAAGTGTACAGCTAGTGTATAACCCCAGTGAGCACACAACCTGATGTGCAAGCCCCAGCAAATGCCACAACTAAGCATGTGTGACTGACCCCTGGTTGGCACCAAAAACAAAGGGAAGTGGGGGGCAAAAGTCCAGTATGATTACACGAAGTGTCTAAAGTGGGCAAAATCAGAGACGGGAGATTAGAGGTTCCTAGACCTGGAATGAGAGGAAAACAGTTTCTGGAGTGACACAAAGGCTTTACATATAGATGGTGATGCTTAGCAAATACTAAATTTATTGTAAGCCTAAATACATGTAACTCTTAAGAGTGATTGTAATCATGGGCTGGAGAGATTACAGTGGGTATGGCGTTTGCCTTGCAGGTGGCCAACCCAGGTTCAATCCTTGGCATTCCATATCATCTCCTGAAATGCCACCAGGAGTAGTTCCTGAGTGCAGAGCCAGGACTAACCCCTGAGTATTGCCAGGTGTGGCCCCAAAACAAGAGTGATTGTGATCAACTATTTCAAAACTTGGAAACTGTGGGCCTGAGCAGTGTACAGTAGTAAAGCATTTGCTTTGCACAATGACCAACCCAGGTTCAATCCCAGCATCCATATGGTCACCAAAACAAGTTAGGAGTCAACCCTAAGTACTGCCATGTCTGTCTGTCCTCTCGTTGTTCATTGATTTGCTCGAGCTGACCCAGTATCGTCTCCATTGTGAGACTTGTTACTGTTTCTGGCATATCAAATATGCCACGGGTAGCTTGCCAGGCTTTGCCATGCGGGCGAGATACTCTCGGTAGTTTGCCAGGCTCTCCGAGAGGGGAGGAGGAATCGAACCTGGGTCGGCTGCTTGCAAGACAAACGCCCTACCCGCTGTGCTATGTGTGGCCTCAAAACAAACTTGGACCTGTTCAGGGAACAAGGAGACTGTTGGATGAAGGGAGAGCCTGTACCTGAAGTAAGTCCTGTCCCCATTTCCTCAGCCGCACTGGTTGCGAATATCAGCTCCGGTTCCCAAAGTAGCTGCCTGGTTCCAGGTTGGCAGTAGGGATCTTGCTTATTAAAACACTTTGATGGGTCTGGCAGGCCTTTGAGGTGTTTGCCTTGGCTTTGGCCCTCTGCAGCAATGGCTCACCTGCTGGAAGCATTTATTAAATGTATAGGGTACCAGCACAATGCCCGGCACCTTTGTATTTGAGGAGGCAGCCTCTCTAGCAGTTATCATGGGGCCTGGGGGGCTCAGTGATAGTCCAGTTGTGCAGGCTGACGGTGCTCAGGGGACTATTGTGCCATGACTTATGCATGCCAGGCATGCGCTCCAGTCCTTTCATCTATCTCCCACGTGGGCCAGACAGCTCAATTCGAGGGCTCAAGGATGCAGAACTAACTAGGCCCTGTGGTGCAAGGGCCCACGAGGAGCACCCTGGAAGTGCTCAGGAGCCTTCAGGGATACACCCACTGATGCTCAAGTGGCCATATGGTTCAGGGTTCTAGCTCAGGTTCCAGCACATGCAAAGCTCCATTCTCAGTTGAGCTATCTCCCAAGCCCCAAAAGATCTGTTTATTTACTTTTTTTTTTTAACTTTTGTGTCATGCCAGGTGGTTCTTAGTGATTTCTCCCAGCTGTGCTCAGAAGAGCTAGAAAAAAGGACTCACCTGCTTTCCTTGCATGTGGAAGCCCCAGGTTTGATTCCAGGCATCACACATGGGCCCCTGAACCTTACCAGGTGTGATCCCTGAAAACAGAGTAAAGAGCCATGAGTACAACTGAGTGTGGCCCCCCAGAACCAAAACCAATAAATCTATAGAATCAGAATAGAACCCAGAAATAGGGCAGCACAAACATTTTGTGTGTGCTTTGTTTTGGGGGCACAACTGGAAGTGCTCAAGGCTCTCGGCTTAATTCTGCCTCTGCACTTAGGGATTACTGCTGACGGAACTCGGGATCATGTGGGGTGCAGGGAATTCAATCTGCACCCCATATGATGGAAGGCAAGCACCCTAGCCCTGCTGTATTATCTATCCAGCCCCATACAAACTAATCTTTGACAGAGGAGTAAAGTAATTCAGTGAAGAAATAATAGAAGAGCTGCACGTGCAAAAAGAAGAAAAATGGGATGCCGGAAGAATAGTGTAGTGGCATAACAAGGCTTCTTCAAGGGCCAGAGGCCAGACAGCAGGTTGGATGCTTGTCTTGCACAAAGCCAATCTGGGGTTCAATCCCTGCACTCCATATAGCGCCCCAAGCCCAGCCAGGAGTGATCCCTGCATGAAAAGCCAGTAGTAAACCATGAACACTGCTGGGTATGGCCCCAACAACAACAAAAGTCGCCTTTAACTTTCCACTCGTGACCCCTTTTGTCCAAAAAGTGCAACAGGGGCAGAAACACCTCAGATTCATGATGTGGTAGATTTTTGAATTAATTTCTGGTCATTACACATTCATAAACTTTGGGCAATTTTTGTCACCCCCCCTCACCATTCAGTTATGTGACCCCATAAGCATGCAGTCAAAGAAGTTAGGACTTAGAACTCCTGTCTTGTAAGCAATATGTTCACAAGTTCAAATTCTCAGTGTCCCATATGGGCCCAGTCTGATTCTGGCAGCTCTGAGCCTGTCAGTTCTGCTGTCTGTGATCCCTGGTGCTTTGAGCAGTTTTCTGCTGTTCTGCACCCAGCTGTGGGTCACCAACCCAGAACATGTGATCCCTGGCAAGTTCTGACCTAGAAAGATGCGTGAACAGACAAGGTCAGGAAATGTGTGAGCACTGTGGTCACCATGGACATGTGCATTCCGGACATCACAACGTCAATAAACAATGAGGGGGAGGGGCAGAGGGAATATGCAAATAAAAATAACTCTTTTTTTTTTAATTGAGTCACCATGAATTACAAACTTACAAATATACTCATGATTGAGTTTCAGGCATTAATTACTTAAAGGTAAAGCTTTCAATAAGACATGTGTTTGTGGCTGTCTCTCCCCCTCAGGTCAGATGGGCAGAGGCCTGCTGCTCACCTTCCTTGAGTCCTTTGAGTCCTGGGACTCATCACAGTGTAGTGCCCTGACTGGCTACCGAGTGCTGCCATGTGTCAGGTCTGGCAATCTAGGGCAGGAAGGAAGGCGTCATCATTCTCTGAGAAGTTGGTGGAAGGCTTCTTTTTTTTTAAGAGACCATTATGATAAGAATGATCACGCTGGACAAGATCTGAGGGTTAAAAGTAGATAAGGGATATTTTCGATATTCTTTCAGTATCAGTATTGCAAACCACAATGCCCAAAAGAGAGAAAAAGAGAGAGACAGAGAGAAAAGAGAAGAGCCTGCCATAGAGGCAGGTGGAGGGTGGATGGCAGGAATGGGGGTGATGGAAGGGAACCTGGGAACATTGGTGCTGGGAAATGTGCACTGGTGGAGGGTTGGGTGTTGGAATACTGTATGACTGAAATCCAATCACAAACAGCTTTGCAATGGTCTATCTCACAGTGTGATTCAATAAAAAATGTTTTAAAAAAATTAAAAAATAATTTGAAAAAAGAAGTAAGATGTCTCCTCCTGGTGTCTGTGATCCAGATCCTGGAGGTGGGATGGTGTAATCTGTTAAATTCCCCCAGCCTTTCAGGCAACTCAGCCTCTGGGAGGTGGACAGTAGAGCAGGCATCTTCTGCAGACAAGGGAGACCCTCCCAGGCAGCACGCTGCCAGGAAGCACATTCAGTCTAAAGCCGCTGGGGAGGCCCTTGGGAGACCATTGTCCTGCCCACTTCCTGGACTCGTGTCCCTGCTCCCCAGGGTAACATACACTGACCTTCCTCCTTCCCCACCTGTGCTGCCAGGACTCACTCTGGTCAGGGCTATGCAGTAGGCTGTCGGCAGGACCTGGACCCTGCCACCTTTAGTTTTACTTTCGCTTTTGTTTTCCTTACACTGAGGAGCCTGAATGGAAACGAAAGCAGCTCCATCTGTCACTCCCTTAGCCTTGACAGCCCCGGGGGCGGGCACTGGCCTCTGCCAGTGTCACTTTCCCTCAGACTCCCTGTGTGTGTCCACTGCAGCAGCTCAGGATGGACGAACAGGACACAGGCCCGCAGCTGAATGAGCAGCTGTACTCTCGGCAGTTGTGAGGCTCAGGCAGGAAGGGGCTGGGGGCGCCTGCAGGGGGACCTCCTCTCCTAGGAGGATGCCTCCCGTCTGTTTCTTCCTCCCCACAGGTATGTTCTGGGCTTGCCGGCCATGAAGAGTGTTCGGAAAGCCAAGATCCTGCTGTCGGGCCTCCAGGGCCTGGGGGCGGAGGTGGCCAAAAACCTGGTCCTGATGGGCGTGGGAAGCCTCACGCTGCACGATCCCCACCCTACCCAGTGGGCTGACCTTGCTGCCCAGGTGAGGGCTTCCCCTGCCAGGTGGAGATGGGCCCCCCAAAGAACCTCCGGAC